TTTTGATCAGTTTGGCTTAAACTTTGCACTGTCCATAAATAGAATAGCTACTGCTGCTTTTTTCTGCGTTCCTGTGGCATGGAGAATTGTTTTACATCCTTTGACTTTTAGTCTATGAATTTCTTTTTGGGCAAAGAAATTGGGTAAAAAAAATGTGTTTTTTGAATATAGCATATTACTGGATCTTATTTCATGATCCATTCTGCCAGTCTGTTTCTTTTAATTGGTGAGTTGAGGCCATTTACATTGATGATTATAACTGACGTACACTGGCTTTTCTTTTCCATGTTGCCTCCTTGTTGTTTGTTCCCTGTCTTTCTGCTCTGTTTAATTGCTTGCCCTACCTGGCAGCTTCTTTTGATTGGTGTTTCTGTGTATGTGGTCTTCATTTTCTCTTTCTAGTATGTCTTTTAGAGCATTCTATAGAGCTGGTTTAGTTGTCATAAATTTCTTCAGTTATTCCTTGTCATGGAAGTATCTTATTTCTCCATCAATTCTGAAGGAAAGTTTTGCTGGGTACATCAATCTGGGTTGCAAATTGTTTTCCTTTAGGGCTTGAAGTACTTCACTCCAGGCTCTCCTTGACTTAAGGGTTTGTGCTCGATGTCGCTGTGATTCTGATGGGCTTTTGTTTACAGGTGGTGTTTCTTTTCTTTAGCTGCTTTTAATATTGTGTTCTTATGCTGAATTTCTGGAACTTTGATTTTTTTTTTTCCCCCTCTGGTACCGGGAATTGAACTCATGACCTTGTACTTACCAGGCAGGTGCTGTGCTGCTGAGCTAAATCCCCAGCCCCCTGGAATCTTGATTATTATATGCCTTGGCGTGGATTTATTTTGGTCATGGCTATTTGGAGTTCTGTATGCTTCATTTATTTGAATGTCAAATTCTTTATCCATATTTGGGAAGTTTTCTGCCATTATTTCTGTGAAGAGGTTTTTAATGGTTTTTGTGCGGTCTCCCACTTTCTCACTGATTCCAGGCAGTCTTATGTTGTTCTTCTTTGCTTCATCATGTAGCTGTTGGATTGATTTTTCATGGTCTCTTGTGACTCTTAAGATATCTTTCTTTTCCTGGTCACTAGTTGCAGTCCTGTCTGCTGGATCTGAAATTCTACCTTCCCCTTCATTCGATCTGCTGCATGTACTTTCAGTGGAGCTTCCAATCTGTATTTCTGTTTGGCTCTGCTTCATTGATTCCATTTCTTCTCTGTGTTTCATTCATGGTTTCCATCATTTTCCTGAGCTCCTCTATTTGTTTATCTGTCTGCTTTATTGTCTTTCATTTTAATAGTGATTTCTTTTTGCACCTTAGAGATCATTTTTTCTATGGCCTCTTCCATTTTTTTTTTTCACTTTTGTTGCTATCATTTCAGAGAAGTCCATTTGCTGGCTTCTGATTTCCTCTATCTCTTTGTGCTCTGGTCTTGTCCTGGGTGGGCTGGATGTTTGGGGCTGTATTTTGCTTCTTCATCTTGTCATTTTAATTTTCTACTTTATCTTGTTTTCTCTGGTGGTGCTTTTAGCTTTCTAATATTAGATAGCCATAATCACTGATGTTGAGACTTTCCGATGAGATGTCTGTTCCTCCAGATGTTTCCTCTTGCCAGCACCACAGTCCCAGGGCAATGGAGGAAGGAAGCAGCATGAATTTTGACTTCTCTTGTGGTCACTGCTGTCTCAGAGCAATGGAGAAAGCACTGGGCATATGCTTATTTGCCTCTCACTGATACTGCCTTCACTGTTCTCCTAAGCACCTTCTTCACTCTTCCCTCTGGAACTGCTGCTCCAAACAATGGAGGGGCTGCAGGGTGCGAACACACTCTCCTCCTGCTGACACCATTGACTTGAGCAATGGAGGATGTGCAGGGCACAGGCTTATATTCTTCCTGTTGGCATTGCCTTCACCTTTCCCGCTGGGACCACTGCGCTGGACATGGAGGGGACGCAGGGTGTGGACTTACTCTTTCCTGCTGACACTGTCCGCCCAGAGCAATGGAGTGCTAACTCTCCTAAGCTGCAGTTACTTCTATCTCCACACAGAGCTGTGTACCTGTTGTTTTAAGTGAATACTCCAGACTGACTCGTGAGTGCCTCCATCCCATCTTCCAACTCTTTTACCAGTTCTTTTTATTGAGATTTCAAATTCCTCTCTTCTAGTTCCTTACAAAATATATAATAAATTGATGTAACCAGTTGACCTACTATGCTATAGGACACTAGGATTTATTTTTTCATACTGTATTATAGTAACCACCATTTAACTTCTATTCTGCCTTTTCTCTACCCCAATTAACTTCTACTGACCACCAGTCTATTCTCTTCTATGACATCAACTTTTTCAGCTTTCATGTATGAGTGAGAACATGCAGTGTTTGTTTTTATGTGCCTGGCTTATTTCAGTTAACATAATGTCCTCTAGTTCTACCCATTAAGCATTCTATATCTTTTTAAATTTTTTAAAAATTTTTTTATTTTAAAGAGAGTAGTAAATGAGAAACAAACAAACAAAAAAATAGAACAGTAGCAGCATATGAGTATCACGAACATAAACAGATCAAAGGAAGAACATTCAATGTGATACAGGGTCTCAAGACAAAATAATACAAATCAACAGTGGTTGTTACACTGCATATCGCTATTCTCAACTACATTGCTCAGATTATCAGATGTAAGAATGAAAGACTGCTCAAACCATTCAAGAGAATAAGAAAATAATTCTTCAATAAATCATTAGAGATAATACAGAGCTTCACTAGACAAGACGGTAGGAGTTCACCATTATAATTCCAGTGCATATTGTTACCTTCAAATCAGTTGCTCGGATCACCAGACACAAGCATGCAAATTGATCAGAACATAAAAAATTGTAAGCATAAACTGTTCATTTCAGCACACCATCAGATATCAGCAATACAGTCATCGCAGCAATCATATATATATATTTAAGCATTCCATATCTTGACTATTGAGTATACAATATGTAATATTTGTAATTTAAGTTACCCTTAATTACATATATGGTGTAAATTTGGAAGCCTTTCACATTTAAAGTTTATTGATGATTACAATTCCATTTAAAATTGTTCATGAAAAGAAAATGTTTTCTGTGGTTTAATTTCTTTTTCTATAAAATGATAGAATTCACCTAACAGTCAAATTAAAAAACACTTTTTAATAAAAAGTTATGGTTACATACAACAATAACCCTGAGTTCCACAAGAGGGCAGGCTCTGCCCAAATGTGTGAAAGTGAGCTCTGACCGGCGATGATGGACACTATTTCCTAGAGCAGAAATTCTTTCTATATTGAAACAAAGATGTAGCAGACTTCATTTATCGATTTATTTCTTTTGTGTTTGCCTTCTCTGTGATTTAAATTGAAGCAAATATTTCTCATTTCATTTTTATTTTCAGCAGCTGAACCTATCTTCCTACTTTTGTCCACTTTTACTTGCTTTTTTCTTTTCATATAACACGGATGTCTTTTCCGTTCACTCCATCAAACACCTGTGTTGCATGTAACCTTCTCTCCTTGGTCTCCCTCTTTGGTTATTCTGTATGTAGTACCTTCAACTATTCATTGCACCTAAAAGGCTTCCAAATTGCTATTTTTCTTCCTTCCTATATGAATACTTAACTTTCTACACATTTTCAGAGAATGTGATTCTATTCTGATAATGAATTATTAGATACTTTTAAAAGTGACTTCTAGCCTGTGTGGTGTCACACGCCTGTAATCCCAGCACTTGGGAGGCTGAGGCAGGAGGATCTCTATGAGTTTGAGGTCAGCCTGGGCCACAAAGTGAACTCAAGAGCAGCCTGAACTTCAGAGCAAGATCCTGTCTCAAAAAGACAAAAAATGCATTTAAAAGTGACTTTTTAACACATTTTTTCTTTTGCTTTCCAAAATAATAGTCATCTTGTTTCAAAATCTTATAAAAAAACAGAGAAAATGTTAACAGGGTATTCTGTTAACAGAGTATTCATTATTGAATAAGCTAAGATTGATTAATTCAGGTCTAAGGAAAAGTGATGCACTCATTTTGAGTATTCTGAAGTTTTTGTTGATAGGGAATTTTTAGTTGGATACGGCCTTAGAGTTTCTAAAATTACTTTTACTTGTTATTAAAGGAAAAGTGTTGTATATGCATATTTTAATGGTATTTAAAATTGTGTCCAATTTTTTTAGGTGCACCCTGTGAGCCGACCTTTATTCTGGGCTGTGCTCCCTGCAATATGATCTGCTCCATTATTTTCCAGAGATGTTTTGATTATAAGGATCAGAATTTTCTTAACTTGATGGAAAAACTCAATGAAAATCTCAGACTTTTGAGCTCCCCATGGATTCAGGTGAGGTTAAGAGCTTCCCTTCTTAACAAGCCATTTACATTCTTTCTCTGTTATCTTCACAGTTCTCTGAACAATGAAGCAGATATTTGGAAACTAGACATTTTGGATGATATAATGTGGTAATTTTGAAAATTAGATTTCACCCCTATGATTTAGATTTTTCCATGTTGTTGTTTCATATTCCCTTTCATAGGGGTGTGTGTGTGTGTGTGTGTGTGTGTGTGTGTGTGTGTGTGTTTTGTAGGCTTTAGGTACTTGTTTAGTAACTTTTATAAAGTATGTTTGTGAAATTTGTATTCTTTATCATGTGTGATC